ATATTTGTTGTTAAAGAAAGTGTGTAGACTTTATTATTGAGAAACATGAAAGTTTTTCAAGAACGTCTGTTTTTTGGGTTGGCAAAAGGATCAGCGGAAAGAGTTTTTTACTTCTAATTTAATAATTAATAAATAAAATATTATAAACATATATATATATATATTTAAAACATAAAGAATAGGTTTATTTAATAAACTTTTTTAAATATATTATCAAAATTTTCTTAAATTTATCTTAATAGATAAATTTGTTAAATAAAAATATATTCTATAATAAATTAATTTTTTTGTAATTTTAATATTTAAAAAAAATTTTGCTTTATTTAATAAAGTAAATCAAATTTTATATTAAAATCAAATTTTTAAAAAAATTTTAATATTGTTATTTAAACATAATAAAAAACATTTAATAATTTTTTTATAATTTGAAAAATTTTTTAAAAAAATTTATTATAGTAAAAAATTTATTTTACAAATAGAATTCATATATAAATTTATAATTTAAAATTTGTAATTATTTAAATTAATATATTATAAATAAAAAACTTTTTTTCACTCCCTCTTCTATACTTGAAAATTTTCTTTTTAGGAAATCTTTGAGTTGTTTACTTTTTTCTTCATCTTTTTTTTCCTTCTCATATCTTTTTATTTCCTTTTTCCTATTTTTTTCTCTCTTTTCTATATACTTTTTTTTATCTTATATTCTCCTCTTTCTTTTTTTTCTTTTTTTCTTGTCAAAATTAGGTTTTCCCTTTTCTCTAAAGGTTTTCCTCTCTAGATCACCCCTTCTTTTGAAACTCCGTCTCTATAACATTACTCCTTTGACCAATAGACTCTCTCTTTTTAAGAGTCATATCAAGAAGTAGTAATCTTTCTTAAGATGTGGGCTTTAGGAAATTTTTTTTTTCATGGTTTCTTAGAAAAAGAATAGATAATTTATCCTCATCAAAAGATCAACATGGTTATTATTATCAAACCTGACACTATTTATTGATTGGCAGTTAGGTTAAATATATCCAAAAAGCCTTTGTACAACTATTATTATTTGAAAGTATCCAAGAAATTATATCCCATAATATTCAAAGTAAAATGGTAGCCAATATCAATATAACTAGCAATAAGTTAGATTAGTTGTAGGTGTTATACTGGTAATTGGAGAACTTAATAAGGTAATATGTAATAACCAAGGATTTTAGTTACTTCCACAACATGAGTTGGTGATGATAATGAAAGTTTCTTATTTACCTCTCTGACAATATAAGTCTATTGTATAAGGTTAGGTTCCAGTGCTATTAAAAAAACCAATATAAACTTTATCTTAGGACATTTTTGTCACACTTGAAATATGGGTATATCAAATCTTTTTTGTGACTTGGAGGCAAACCTGTATAAAGTGACTGCAATACATTTATACAAAAAGATATTCACTTCCTATTATCTTTAACACTACTCCATTTGTTATAAATCAAGCCATATTTGAAAAGCAGGCGTGCCAATTCTAATCATAACTTGAAGATCAACCTATATAGATTGGTTGCAGCATTTTCATGTGATTAAATATTTATTTATTTCTAGATAGCTAGATGTTATTCAAGGCAATAATATAGATTTTTGAATTTTTTTTTGTCTGTATTTCTTGAATGGTATTAAAAGAGCACAGAGGTTGGGCCTTATATGGAAGCCTTGCATTAAACTCTTTCTAACAAAAAGAGACATACAGTATGTCATGCTATTGGATATTGTACCTTGCTTTGCAAATGAAAGTATAATAAATATAATAAAGCATAATAGTTATTTGCTCTTTTTAAAAAAAAAAAAATTATTTAAATTGATATGAATTGGTACACAACAAAACCATGTTTTGAAAGGTTTTAACAAAATTAAAATTTTAGTGGATTATACTCCCGAGAATATCCTTTGTCTGTGATAAAAGTTTGGATATATATTAATATATTATAATTTGGTACAATCTTGCATGCAGTTTTTTAATTTTATATGGTTCGATATATAAATTTAAATTGATAATCGTCGATATAAGAATTTTGTCTCAGATTATGGTTTTGCTGTGTACCAACCCATATATAAATTAAATATTCATAAAACTTTAACATATTATTTCTTTTATTATAAGTAAAATATAAATTATCATTTATCAAATTATAAGAAAAGTTCAATTCTGTTTTTTTTTTATAATCAGACTGTACCTATTATACAGTATATTTATAATAGTTTATAGAAAATATATTAAGTATTTAAGTTTTTTAAATTTTTAATATAACATTTAAAAAAAAAGCTTTTTATACTCGGTTTAAAGGTGTAATTGGGATCTTGTGAGTTTTGTTGGAAGCACAATGTTAAGAGATAATAATATAGCTTCGGCACATTTAAGTCTTACGATATGCACGTTTATTAATTTATTGTTTGGTGTGGGAAATACCTGCAGAAAGATTCCCGCTAATACAAAGATGTTTCGTAAAACTCAATGCATTTGTTTAATAAGATTGTATTACGTGGAGTGATTTATATTTGAAAATAAATAAACTATAGACTTTGAAAAAATGTTTATACGTATAAAGTACACCAACATTAGAAATATAGATCACAATCCTTAGAATTTACCACACTAATTTCCTACTCTCCTTCCATAGCCGCTTATAGATTTGACATTCATAGAGCTGGGTGGCGAACTTCAAGATGGAAGATTCTCTACAGTCTTGGACGGATTCACATTTTTCGAATCCTTTCTCAACAGATTCGGTCGGCGAGAAAACTTTAAAAGAGAGTTTTATATTTGAAACTCATAATAAGGTTTCTCGAAGTCAAAAGTCGACTTCCAAAGCAAGTGCAACAAGCGATGCAGTCGAGAAACGACATAGATCACGTCTTGTACCTGTCACCACACATCCTCTGAGCCCGCAAACGCAACCTTCTTCAAACGTAACCAGTAGTAATGTTCAAAAAGCCTCACCAGGTTCACAATCACTTACAACCTTGTTTAATGAGAACGACATCTATTCACTTTTTAAAGCACAAGGACCGACCGCAATCAGAAAACGTCGTAGCTTGCCGGGTTTTGACATGGTTACTGATGCACGTGGAAACGATATAGGATTAGAAAAAAAACAGATGGTTATAGTTCACTCGGTCAAACCATCGGATACATTGGCCGGTGTAGCATTGCTTTATGGAATTGAGGTTAGTGAATTTCAAGGGTTCGAACATCCATTTCATCCGTCTATAGTGTTCAACCGATTCATTTAACTATGATCTTCAGTTATCAATTCTTAAAAGGGCAAACAAATTATGGACCAGTGATTCGATTCATTTGCGCAAAGAATTGTACATCCCTCTTGAACATTGTAAAATAACAGCAGATAAAGCTAACGTGATATTACAAGAAAATTATATTATTATTACAAATCGGTCTTCTGCTCTCCGATCATCATGCACATCTATTTTCAACACTCGCAACAATTCCAGTAATAATATAGACCATGTTGATGAGTTGCCCGGTGCTTCGAGTTCAACAATGTGGTCGTCATCCTCATCACCCAGTTCGACCTCCTCGTTATTGTCAAATCTCAATAGGACAGATATCTCAAATTTTACCAATTACACTCGTGCAGAAATACAAAAATTACCTTCTGCACAACTATCTTACTTTCCCCCACATCTTTCGACAGCGAGTTCTGCAAACTCAAATCTTACTTTTCCATCATCACCTTCTCCGATGCCCGTCACATATCTAAGCAAGAGTAACCCTCATGTTCAAGTTTCTGCTGTGAATAGATTATTGGCCAATTTAGATGGCGTAGGTGAAAAATCCAGAAAAAATTTCGATTCAGCTAAGCTCGAAAGGAAGAAGACGACTCGCGTTGAACTATGGAAAAATCGATATGAGTCATCAATATTATTGACCAAGAAAAGGGCATAATAACAAAGAGAAACTATTGGCAACAATAATTCATCGTTCACTGACTTATAATTGATATTGAAATTATTTATGCAATAAAATATGTTCACATCTAGAAATAAATAATGAATCCTTATATTCAATGTCTATCTAAGGGAGGTTTTGATTTTGGTTTATTCGGCATTTTTAATCTAATACCATCCCCATAATCGTTTGAAAAAGACACCCATTTCTGATAACACGCCACCACTGGCCATTTTCAGATTTGGAGTCACTGGATTGGGAAGCGGTTTTTTAGCTGCGGAAGGTTGCCTAGGTAGAGCATACTTTATGGTTGCTTTTTTAAAGCCTAAACTGGGATCCGTGAGTATAAAAGGTGTTGAGGAAGGTGTCGCAGAAGACATTATGGGTGGTATTGTAGTAGGTGTTTGAGTAGTAGTTGTTGTTTTCTCGGTACTAATAATCTGTTGGCTTGACGAAGGTGCAATCGATCCATCACTAAAAGAAAAGAAAAAATTGTTAAGTTTACATCAAATAAAATGAAAAAAGTTCAATGTAATGCATACCCAGTTCCAAAACTCAATATGTTTTGTGGGGGTAGTGAGAAATCTTCACTGGTGCGAGTCTCCTCATTTTCCTTGATGATCTGATTAACAATGTCCGTTATACTGAGAGCTGGATTTTGAATGGTACGTTCTAAAATATCGTCTTGTGAAATTCCCACATTTTTAGGCACGTTGCTAAAAAAATGTTTAGGGTTAGCAAGAAGTTTAACAAAAATTATAGAGTTTACAGTTTACTCACATTCTTGAGTAAGGATCGGTCTCCGTCCTTCTAAATTTCCTGGCCATTTTCTATAAGTTATTTCGTTGCAATTAATTGTAAACTCGACAATGCAAATAAGTCTTAAAAATTTCTAAACAAGAGATCGTATTTCCTAACTTTAGCGGTGTTCAAAATTACGGGTTCCATGTATTTTGTTTCTTGAGGTTCCAAAGCTTGACGGAATTGCAGTATGCGATGACAATCTTGACATGTGTGAACGTGACCGCAAACTGAACACATATGATTGGGTTCGTAGGTTTGTTGACTGTAAGATTGCCCAACGGGAACAAGTTCAGGTTGGGTAGGTTGACGCGGTATAAAACTATTCTGTTGGGGGTTCATCGCAATTGGTTTATTTTGAGAAGGGTAAAGAAAATGATAAAAAGTATTTATATCATTACAATTGGAATGTTACGCTACATACACTACATGACAACCAATCAAATAAACGATATCTCGTACTACCACAAAATTTTATAAATGTACGGAACCGCACACATTAAAAATTTTGTAGATAATCTGTTATTATAATGAGTGCAACGTATGTTGCGAAAACGACGGTTCTTACGCCCCACAAAATATCTTTGTTGGTGCTAGTTTCCGCATATGTAGACATTGAAGGCGAAAAAGATCTGATGGAATCTCTGTTATTCTTTCTGATAGAAAAAATATCGGTACATAAGACAGATAGACCTTGTTTAAGTTAACAAGTGCACTTCACATATTGATAACATTATCAAAATCCAGAATGAATATCGTTTTCCAGAGCCATCCCTTCCAGAATTATGTGATGATATTCTTCAGAAAACGAAGAAAGCGCCACTGATGCACGTTTTGCTTGACAGTGTAATAGATAAATCCCAATTTCCAATTTCCATTTCGATCGTTTGTACCAACCATTATAATTTAATAAACAAAATAATTTTTTTCAGTTAAAATCTATGGATTCCCCTAATGATATAATTGATCTCATAAAAGGCAATTGAGATTTTGATCTCTTGGAATATCGACATGATTTGTTTGATTACTTACTCGAATTATCTTTTCAGATTCAAAAAAACTGACCATGGCTAGTGTTGACGCCGTATGTAAATAATTCCCGATCCACTCGGTTAATTTACGCATTTCACATTTTACTCAAACCATAGTTTTTCTTTTTGTTTTTAGCCGTCTCATCTGGTATTCATATTTTCTATTCTACCAGTATTTATTGCCAGACATTAGAATTGACATAACTCAATCAGGGAAGATATAGCTTACTGGGAATGTTCGTTCGACGTTGCCAAATTGAAGGCGACAAGCTGATGTTCGATGAGATATGTAGATTGTACAATGCTGTCGTTAAATACAAAGCTCCCATACCTAAACTGTCGGAAAAAATAAAGGAATTGGAAGATGAAGATCTGAAGCCCGAATGTGTACCTGACATTCTTTCAAGAGTGACACAGACTTATCATATGCACAATCAAGGTAGGTGTCATTTTTTCTCGGGAAATTTTTCTTTGGTTTACTTAGACATATATATATATGTAAAAATTTTTTTAGAATTAATTGCCAAATGTGATGCAGAATCATTTTCTCATTACGTGATAACCCAACTTCGAAGTGAGAATTCATTTCATTATGTTACCGTTTATCATTCATCCAATTTGTTGCGATAATTAATTAATGAATGATGCAAATAAGAATATGGTGGTATCTTGCCCGTTGAACTTGAAACAAAACTTCGAATGATACACGAAAGAATGCCCGAGATATCCACAGTGTACTACATAGAGTAAGTGTTAAAAGGATCTGTAACCGCGTCAGAGTTTTCTTGGTAACACGGTCATTCCTTATTTGCGAAAACAACAGTTATGTAAACTGCATGCAGTCAGGTGAATATGAGGGAGCGCTGACCAACTTTTACAAGTATTCGAATTTTTGTCCGGATGATGTCGAAAATAGGTATGCATGTATTGTTTAATATTCCTTTTTTTTTTTCCTCAACTTATCTATATATATTTTATAATAATAGGAATTGGTATCAATATGTTTTGCTGAATCTGGTGGTTCTCCATGCAAAGTTTGGCCACAAGGAACAGGCGCTCCTGGTAATTGCTCTACGTGACATCATATTATTTTCATAAATGCTAATGCTAATTGATATCAGGCGATTCGCGAGGCAATAGAAATGGCGCGTGAAAATAATGATCAGGAATGCCTTCGCTTCGCGCTGAGGTGAAATATTTTTATGTATATATTATTATCGACCAATTTTTATCGAGAACAGATGCTAAAAGGCTTGGTTGACACAATTTTCATGTAGCTGGCTGTATAGGTTAAAATCAAGCGATCGGACGACTATAGATCGCGTGGATGCAACCGATCAACAGATGCTCGAATCACTTATAATTAAAGCAAAACAATCGGATTTTGTCTATTTACAATCATTGGGTGAACTTGGGAAAGCACAACACCAGACTCAACAGGTTCATATTATCTTTATATAACAATATTTCAAAGTATTATTGTTATTTATTGATAAATAATCGGTTCATCACTTTAGCAATCGAAATTGTAATGTCGTATTATATTTAACTGGTATATAAATGATTATCGACAATATTTTAAAATGCAACCTTGGACTTGTAAATTTAGGGTGCATCACCAACTGACGTTTTCGAATCACTACTCCGGAGTTCTGTGTTGAATATGAACTGTCGTTTTAAGACAATGAGATTTCAAGGGCTACTACTTAGTGCAAGCGTGTGGCAAATATATGGTATGAAAATATTTTATTGATATATGTATGTTTACATTTAAATAAATTGCTTATTTCGCATTTTATTTTGACCGTGGTGTATAGGTAGCGCTGCGTTACCCGCCCTACATTCATCTGAAGTAATGGACAGTCCTGAACCTAGCCCCGAGGATCTCGTCACTGCCTACTGCCAGATTGCTGATCTTGTAATATAATATAATTCATGTAAAGGTCATATGGTGATTCTGAAACTTCAATTATAACCTTCTTTCGTTCAGCACGTGTTGCAGGGTAATTATTCGAATGCGCTGAAGCTACTGGCCGATTCGAAAGAAAAGTTTATTGGAATTCGTCGAGCAGCCTTGCAATGGGTTGTGTGCCTAGAAAAAATTTTGTATCAAAGGTGTTTTGAGAGGTAATTTGCCAAAATCATACTATTTGACATGACGAAGGCGATAACTTCGTTCCTGGCAATATTTCCAGAGACGAGTTTTCAAACGTCGATGCATTGGAGATGCAACTTCGTGGCAGTTGTCAAGATGAAGAGCTTATGCACGCTGATTTCGATTTTCATCGAGCCCTCTATCTAGAGAAAATTGGTCGTTCCGATGAGGTAAAAAGATCTTGACTTTTTCTTGGTTAAATGGTAACTTATTATTAACTTTTTGTCCGTTTAGGCCACAGACGTATTTCACGATCTAATACATAAGTTTTCGAGATTGGGTTCCCAGAATCAAATGCTTGTTGCTAATTACCTGCTTAAGATCGCCGAAATTCTTATAGTAAAGATTATTTCAAAAATATAATCTTTCAAAACATGAGATGTAGTGCCCATTTATCATTGAAGGTACCTTTCATTAGGATGCAGAAAATCCCACGTCAGCTCTTCCTTACGTTCTAAGCTCGCTTTGCATAAGTGAACGATTTCATTATCAGAGCAGCTATTTTATGGCTATCATACGCTTAGCTCAGATTTTGATCCATTTTGATCTCGTCAATAGAGCTAAAGTGATGATTGAAAATATTATGCCGGTGGTACGTCGCCTACTTGATGAGTTTTTTTTTTCGCATAGACTTCACATTTATCATTATTATTTGTTATCTTAGATTCTCGCGGAACATTCATTGTACATGCAGTCAATAGCGCATTTCATTTACGCTCAGTGCATGATTGCTTGTATTACTCAAGATGTGAAAGGTGCATTTGTGTTTCGTGTTATTTGTTGATGTATTCGACATGTTTTAACATAGTAAAATTATAGCACATCAGAAACAATCCATACCATGGGAAAATGTTTTGACGCAGTTGGAAATCGCTCAAAGAGGTAATTTTAGTTCAATGAAGTAATAATTGACGGAAAATTATTTTTGATTATTTATCCATCTTATCTTGAATCACATAACTTGATACAGGATTTACAAAGTTAGAATCTGTCTCTCAATTACTTAACGTGGTTCAGCTGAAATCATACATATACAACGCTATGGGAAATATCGTGCAACGTGATTTCGAAGCTAAGGAATTTAGGAGTCTACATGACATACAGGAGGCTAACAAACGAAAACAACCGGATTGGAATATTCCATATTATGCAAGATATATTCAAGTGCAAAAAGAACAATTATCTCCATCCAAACAAGACACTGAAAGTTGGAGGGGAGGTACTCCCGAATCTGAGGAAAGTTCCCCATCGACAGATACCGACACAATCCAGACAATTCCGATGGATACCACCATGGCCAGTGCGTCTGTAGCGGACACATCCATGGTTGGCGCGAATACTACTATGGCTAGTGCGGTCACGATGGATACAGATGATATATCCGAAGATATAGCATTTGAAGAATATTTAAATTTTCCTTGAACTGTAACTGTCACTATTTTGATAAAAATTTGCAACGTTAAAAATAAAAAATACAGTAAATATTGTGTGCGAAGTCGATGAGTCCCGCGTCCGTCTGCCCGATTCAAGTTTTCAATATTATCACAATATATTCGATTCTTGAGTTATTGCTATACGTATGTAGATTTGAATTTCCTCAAACTGGAGAAACCTTGTCCATAATTCCTCAGAACACAAGTACATTAATGCCACCACGAAAGTAAATCAAAATTTTATAAAACAATTAATATTTGCAATAAAAGCAATAATCAACATTGAATGCCAAATAAATAAAAAAATCAAATTTATATAATTTAAAACATTACCAAGTTAATGATTTGAAACACGAAAAATATGTACCGTACGTAAACTATACTTTAAAAATATTATTTTAATGATTCTTAATAGTGGAAATTTGAATCTATTACGATTTTACGTATCATATATAAATTTAAAAAATAAATAAAATTTTTTCACTATTGATTAAAATTGTGATAAATTTTCGCTGATTGTACGTTTTAATTTGCTTTTTCTATTCGTTTTATGGTTCACTGTCAACAGCATCTCTAACAAGGATGTGTGCGTGAGTGACACTTTTAATACTCTGAAGTGTTGAAGGATTGATAAAAAATAACCATTCCTTCTTTTTCACGCCATTTGTATTTCCTTCAACATTATCAATGTCAGAGTTAAACGTTGCCTCCGAAAATCTTTCAATTTCTTCCGAAGAATTTGGATCAAACGGGAATTTTGACCATAGAACATAATGAGTTATCGAAGGATCGATTCTGGTATAGGGAAAGTCATTTAACCTCAATAAATGATCCGATTTGTTTGATGGATCATAAGTAAAATATTTTGACGTTGAGATTTCGTCATTATCCCATTTAAGTATCACTTTTCGTATGTAGTTATCGGGGGAATCGTATTCTTTGGCAACTTCGGCTTTCCATGCCCTGTATTTTAAAATATCTGCTTTTTTTCTTTTGAATAATTCTAGACGTCTTTTATGGGTTTGCGCATACAAAAGGTTATAACTTTACGATCACATTGTTAACAGACTGTCACGATAATACCGTACATACCCTGACTCTTTATTAAAAGTTTGAGACATTAATAAATTGCTACATCTCGATAGCTTTTCTTCGACGTAGAAATCAAAAGAAAAATAATGGAATACCAATAATTTTTTTTACATCTTCCCAACTCAACACAGGATCCGAATCTTCTTTATTATCCTCACCAGAAAGAGATGGTTGTGCGTTTATGGAATGCGGAGTCATGAGAGAAAAATGCAAAACTTACAAATATAGTTGACACCTTAAATTATACCCGAGGGACGATCGATCACAGAGGGCAAAAATTAAGTCGTACAAAATTAATTTCTTTTTCCGGTCACCGGTTCATTTTTTAAATGCGAGAATATTACGCGGTAAACTCTTAGAATAAACGAAAATTTTTAACAATAAACGAAACCTATTATATTTTTATTGCATTTTATCTTTACTAGTATGTTTCGATGATTTAGAAAAAAAACATTTTTTATACTGTATTAATAAAATTAATAAAATATACTTAAATATCAATAAAAATAAAAAAAATATGATTTAAATTACGTGGTTAGATATCTAATATTAATTACTTAAAGAAAAAATATATTACTGTTTTTATTTTATAAAATAATTTTATTTCAAGTTATAATACAAATTTACATAATACAATAAATGATCGTTGACAATTTTTTTTTTCGATTAAACAAATTGTGAATAAATACATAATAAGAAGACCGTTTTTTTCATTAATAAAAAGCTAAGAAAAGAAAAGAAAATAGAATATTAATTAGCAAAGAATAGAGAAATTTAAGAACGACTAATCTTATGTGTCGAACAAACTCTTATCATTTATAAGATATTCATTTACTTACATTTAGGACATGTTATTCCTGTCAGCGGATAGCAAACGATCAACAACCAAATCCAATCTACCACCACACTCCCCTAACAATTTTTCATTCTCTTTTTCATCAGTGAATCCCATTGAAGTAAGTGTAGCTTGCTTTTCTTTCAATAATAGATCATAACTGCTTTCAGTGGATGTGCTACTGGTAAAAACAGCAAAGCTATCAGCGATAAAATTCGAGGTATCAAGATTATGAGAAGTTTGTGATGATAAGTTTCTTTGATTATGATGAAAATTCGGAGTGACAAAGGGATTTGTTAAAGAAAAATCGGTGGAAACTTCGCTGCTCAGATTATTTGTTGTCTGGCTTTGCGATACTCTGGGATCAAAATGAAAGCTTTGAAGAGCGTTATTTGGTGTTACTGGAGGACCGAATTGATCATTAAGGGAATAACGACTAGTGGCGGTACTATTCGCAAAACCACGACCAAGGTTATCGGAACTGGTGAGAGTTGATGGACAAGGATTAAATATAGAAGAATATGTGCTGATAGATGGAACCCTTGTTTCAGGGTTACTATCAGGATAAAGAGGTGTCGGTGGGTCATTTGGTACAGTAAAGGGTGAAAACACTCTGGATACTCCAGCTTGGGTGTCATCAGTAAAGGATTGTAATGGTGGAAGGTCAAAATTAAAATTTAGGTGTAAATTAGAATCATCATTTCTTGGACTACATGTATTTGTGCTCTGAGTGGTTGATGATAATGAACGTGAATTCCTTAACGTTGAAGGTTTAAAAGAATTTATCCATTGATCGAAATTTTCGGTGTTTTCAGGAACGGTACGGATTATTTCCTTCATAATTTGATTTATAGTTTCAAGGATTTGTGGATACTTGGTCAAAACATCCCGGGATTGTTCAACCAGCTTTTTGAATTGATGAAAATTTTCAAGATACTGTGACTTGTTATCATTTTGTTGTGTGGAAGCCTCGAGTGTTTTATTTTCAATAAAATATAAATCATCATCATCACATATTCTATTTTCCAAAGTGTTGGAGAAATCATTACGTTCATCAACTTGCATTTGCGTAGATCCCAAAATCATTGAAATATTCATATTGTTATTCACATCTTTACTGTGATCAGGTGAAATAGGGACTTGAGGCACTCGAGTGTTTTCTGATTGCGTCAAATTCATTATTCCCTCCAGACGCAATTTTGAACCTGTGTTAAAATCACTAGATTCTTCATTATTTTTATTGTTGGCTTGTTTTATGTCAGTAAGTTGACTCGCGGAGACATCATTACCATTATTTTCAATGGTAATCAAGTCAAATCTAACAACCCCTGAGGTTTCTCCAGAAAAAACCTCCCTAAACTCTATGTCGGTCGAGAGTGTGATGACATCGCCATCTTCATCAACATAGGAAAGGCAGATTTCTGTGTTTGGGGGAATAGAGAAGAGATTGCATAAATTTGCTTTCAGTTCAGACCACGAAGAATTTTCTGAAATGGCGAAACGACGGTTTGTATTTTTATAAGATACTTTGATAATGACCATGATAAATAACTGAATGTTTTTGTTAGTGATATTTACTTTCGAGGGGAATCTTTTTTAGATAAATATTTATGATACAGAGTAGCTGAGGGCGAAGCAATGAAAATTTTAATGAAGTTAAGGATTACGTATGTACATACGTACGTACACTTGTCATCATAAGTACTATGGTGATTGTAATCGCCAGCTACTGTAGCCATTGTACAACTATGGCTATCCGATATTTTCTATTTTGAGAATTAATTTAGCATACAATCTTTGATACATACTATAGCGCAACGAACAAACGACTGCGGCAAATCACATGAAATTTATACTATTGGTTTAAATATTTTATTGATACTGTACTTATCAATATTTTTTGATATTCAAATCTTTATATATATTTTTTACAATCATCTATAAGTTTTTTGTTGATTTGAGATCTGGGTTGTAAGACAGCTATTCCAAGATTTTGAAATATATTTTTTTATAAATATCATAACAAAATAATTTGTATGTTTTAAATTTTATTACATATTTTATTACTATTAAATTTTTTTGATCAAATTTTTTCTTTATTTTAAAATGTTATTATAAATATTTTAATATAACATATATATCTATTATATTTTTAAAACAGAATAATTTAATTTTTTTAATTTTATTATTTTATTATATATATATATATATATATTTAAATAGATAAATATTGTCACTTTAAAAAAAAAAAAAAACTCTCACCCGTTCACCACTGATTTCTTGAAAATTTCCTTATATGGTAATTTTCTTGAAAGAA